TTGCACAATTATTATTCTGATTTACTGCAAGTTATTATTCTGATTTACTGCAAGTTTATTGGACACAGGTAACCAACTTCGTAGACATGATTATTAACCTCATGTGAATGTGTTAGTGGAGTGTGAAACTCTGAGGTGCATTTTAACCAAGTGCATTTACTTTGTTATAATTCTTAAGTAATTTTTTGAGGGTTTATGTTTTGCCAAATGTATTTTTTTTGTTTTAGTTGTAAGTTTTACTCTTATTTTGTTACATTCAAAATATAAAATTGATACTTTTGTGTCTTAAATTTACAATTTAACACCTAGTTTCACGCTACAAATGTAAATATAACTCGATCAAAAGAGTAGTTTATGTTCTCTAAGAAATGAAGTGTTATGTCAACAGGCTCCTCTAAAGTGAGTTGAGTAAATTAATTACTAATTACTTTTTTGCCAGTGTTTATGCATTAGCAGTACTTTGAATATTTGAAAAGTTATCAGTTAGATCGTTGTATATTATTTTCTACTTTATGTTTTAAATATTATTTTCAAATGCTCATATTGAGAGCCGCTGCTTCTGTGTTGAAGAGTCATCTAAGGTCCTTCAGGCATCAGACTGCATGCCTTCTGGATGGTTCCCTGTTTCAGGCACATCCCACTGGGAAGATGTCCTTGGGCAGACCCAGAACTCACTGGAAGGATTGTGTTTTTTTCCTGGCCTGGGAATGCCTTGAGGTCCCCCAGGTGGACCAGGAAAGTGTATCTGGGGAGAGGATTTTCTGGGTTAATTTCTTGGACCTTTTGCCTGTGTGATCAGACTACAGATAAGCTGTAGAAGATAAAGATCGAGATGGGGTGTTACTCCATGCAGTGTAAGACTTTGTCAGGGTCATTTTGGTAATACTAAAATATGCATTTAATCTAACAACTATTGCATTGTTTCACCCAAAACATGACTTACTTTCATGAAATGTACAAAAAATATGATTAGACTTTTTATATCCTCTGGTTGTGAGTAAGTTATTTTAAATACATAACTGTACCCTTGTGGTTTGTATCATGAGCAGTAAAGAAATGTTACTTTTGTGTCGAAAAACTAAAGCATTTCTCATAACTTATATAATAACAACTATAATGCAAATGTTTGTTTTCTTTTATAGAGGTAGCTATCTATTTATATCATGGAAATAAAAACAAATGGCCCAGGTGCAGAAGTTGCATCACATAACATGTGTCCTTGTTCTTGTTTTTTCTCCTTTATATCAAGGAAAAACCAACAGAGATTAACCACAGTGATGTGAGATGTGTAGAAGGTCCAACATGTTATGTTAACTTCACCTTAAATACCCTCACAAACTCAAACATTTTGTTATGAAAGCTTTACACAAAGAAGAGTTTTATGTAAATCAAGCGGAGGAATTGCTGATGTATGATAAAAAATATGTTGATTATATCTTCAAAAAATTAACATTTAATCCAGAAATTATTAGGACTTTTATGTGGACTCAGTCAGTGTCTTTCAAGATGTATAGAAAGAATAAAATTAATATTATGGAGTACCAAAATGTAAGTTTTAGATAAATACTGTATTTTTTTCTTTTTAATAGATAAAGAGGTTACAGAGCCCACAACAAATGTAAAAATACGTATTTAAATCATGCCACAAGTGCTTTGTATAAAAAACCTTGTGAATGCCAGAATGAGAGCATTTTTGTCAGTATTTCTGCTTTTATGAATAAGATTTTTATCATCCCAGCTGCTTCCTATCAAACCCAGCTCCAGACCCTCTCATCACCACCTGCAGAGAGTGTGTCAAACAGACATCTGACCTGCCTTACTGAGTTTTGTTCCGGGTCACTTCTTCCAGTGAGTCTTCGGTTTACAGGCTTGTTTAAAGTGAAAAGGGGGCTCTGACAGGTCTGTGGTGAAAACACACAGGCTTAATAACCCATCTGTGTGCTGACTGTGAGGTGACACATAAGGACTAAAGGAATAAAAATCTAACAACACAGGACAGATTTTGCTCTGATGCTCTGCTAACAGTCGACGCACTGCTGTTCTGACAGTGGTCCAGACACAAACACACTCAGAGTTACAGAAACAATTTACACTGAAAAGTGAGCAGTGCAAGGGAAAATTACATCTTTATAAATAACTTTACTTGAAAAACCTATTTGTGAATTTTCTTAAAAGAATAAAAAGATTGACATATTTTCAGTGTGTTTTATGTAATTCTGACATATACGCTATATACAGTGATTATGATTTTTGGAAGCCTTTTTTGCAACCAGTAGAGTGTTAAACAAATTGTGGTAAATTAATACAGTATATATANTTATTATACCATTGTTGGCTACTTTGGGGTATTTTTCTTCCAAGAGTTGAAGTTGTGTTAAGTGAAAGTGTCAGTGGTCATCTAAGCTTTATGTTCAGTGACCCCCAAACTGGAAAGAGTGGCTTCAACAGATCCCAGAAACAACCTCAGAGCTCTCTGTCCAGAAATGTGCAGCCAGATGAAGAGCTGAGCTGCTGCCTCAACTTCTTAAAGTTTTATATTTTATTTTTCAAAAAAAAAATTTTAGATTTCACAATATTGTTTTGGCTGTTTCTTAAAAGCATGTTGAACGCATTGCGTTTGCTCTTGATTTGAAGACAAACATGCCGTCATTCATCTCTGATTACAGCCAGAAACATTAGTTTTATTCAAGCAAGTTTGGTCAAACTTTGTTTATAAGAGCATATGATTGAATAAGCGCTAACCACCCTGTGCCAAAATAGCTATGGGAAAAAAAATAAGTGCAGGAAAGCAAGTTGACAGACACAAATACTCAGGAAGCAGATGTTCCCATGAATACAAATATCAGTTGGTGGGCCTTGAAAAACATGTTAAAAAAAGATAAACAAAACAGTTTTGTAAAACTGGGTGTTCTTTTTTGCTCTTGGGAGGCAAGGTCATACATCTTTTAGTAAGTATTGTCACAATTCATGTTTGGTTGTTAAGGAGAACGTCTACTTTAATTAAATTGTCTTAAAAATGCAAATAATAGTAAGTACAGTCTCTAACTCTTAACAAGTAAAATATTGTCTTCTTTTATTCACATCTGTACACATTTCACTGAAAGTATTTTCTTCAGAAGTAAAAATAGGACAAGACAGAAAGGCTTCAACATAAACACAGTTAAAATACTGTGTAAAAATGTATACTTCCATCCATCCACTATCTATACCCGTTTCTTCCTTTCAGACTTACAAGGGTCTGGGGTATAGAGTATGTGTGCTGTGGTTTTGTTATCTTTGTTTTTGCAGGTGTGGAGCCAAGATGTCGAGTGTGCTGTCTTGTGTTTTCTCGAGAAATGTTTCACTTTTCTTCTAATCTCTCTTTCACTCTTTCTCATTACATTTCATTTTTTTCCTTCTCTTTCTTTTCCTCCTTAAACAAATTACGTGGGTCACCGGTGCCCATATCCAGCAGTCACAGTGTGAGGGGTGGGGTACAGTCTGGACAGGTCACAAGTCCATCACAGCTTGAATAAAAAATGTGTACTTTTTAACAAAAACAAACAAAAAAGGGAGACATTGTTTGTTTATTAGATTTTTTTTAATCTTCCATACAATGGTTGATTGTCTCTGTTTGTATTTGATGTTTACTTTTTAAAAATATATTGCAAGTATAAAAACAGATTTTTACAAATGCATTTTTTCCCCTTTACACTATACCAGCAGCTGACAGTAAGCGTTTTCAATGGAATTCTTTAAACAGCTGGCTGACAGAGTGTGTTTTGTGCTACTTACTCTTTTTTTAGCACAAAATAGAAAAACCAACAACATATGTCCGAAGAAGCATTGGTGTATTCACCTGTTTGGGTGCAACTGTGATCACATTGCTTGTGTAATACGAGCAGCTGAGTTGACAAAAAAATAAAAATAAAAAAGGGTGGGGGTTGCCCCTTCCTTTTCTGTGCACATGTTCACCAAACACAACACACACCTCCTGTTACAACACCTTCACTCAGGACACGTGACACTTTGGGACAAAATACAATCATTTTAAAGCAACAGTACAAAAAAAAAAAAAAAAAAAAAAAAAGCAACAGTACAAAAGATCACCAGTTCCCATTTGAAAAAAAAATCTGTGACATACAGTACTACTACAGCGGGTCCAGGCAAGTGTGTGTGTGTGTGCGTGCGTGCGTGCGTGCATGTGTGTGTGTGTATGCTTATTTACTCATCCCAATAAACGGTGGAAAAACACTAATGTTTCCAGAGAAAGTTCTCTTGTAAACAGGGCCTTAAAGAAATTTCCCGTCCAACATTCTGCATCTCTGATAAACTCCCACAGAGGCTCCTTCCTGGAAACTGGTGATTTAATTAGGCAAAAAGGTTTATTCACACTGAGTTGAGAACAGGGAGTTAAAAAGGAATGCAACTTTGGAGAGGAAGAAAACAGAAAGGAGTCAACAATCCTGGTACCTGGAGGTATGACACTACGTGTTAAATATCGAAGCTGATTTTTATCAACCAATCTCATAGTTAAAAATAAAAAAAAAATGTTTGTTAGTGAAATATGCATGTAAGTTGTTCTCTTCTTAAGGAGAACCATTTAGTTGATCATTTTCATAACCCTATTTGGACTCAGCATTGCTCAGCAGTTGGTTCTAAAAATATTTGGTCTATGTGATTCAATAAAACTGAATTTTACAAATACACTGAAGTAAAATGTAAAACAAATATTAGAACCAGACCCCTTTTCCAACAGGGTGGTCAGTAAAATAATAAATAGTTTTACTTTACTTTAAATTTTAAAAAGTTAAATATTTTTTCTTTGTTTGTTTGTTTTTTATGTAAGCTAAGATTGCTGCCCTCCAGTTCGTTGAATGGGGCTTTAACTTTCTGTTTGATCTGGACAGTGAGCAGGGTCAAACTCAGTTCAGCTAGTAAGCTGTGAGACCAGAGCACATGTTCAGCTCCCACTCTGATAATTTGTAATTTCCAACAGATACGGGAGAGAGAGGAAACCCTATATATAGACAAAAAAATGAGACAGAGATAGTTTGCTCCTGAGCGTTTCGCTGTCATCACAGGAGAGCATGAAGCTTGTTATCTTGGTCACTCTGTTTGGGCTCAGCCTCGCCCAGCACAACCCCCATATCAAGCATGGCAGGACAAGCATTGTTCACCTGTTTGAGTGGCGCTGGGCCGATATCGCTGCAGAGTGCGAGCGCTTCTTGGGTCCCAATGGCTTTGGCGGCGTTCAGGTAAACACATTTAATTAGTGTGTTTGGGATGCTTCATGTGCTCTGTGGAGCTGAGGCTTGGCAACCAGAAATTCAAGAAAATTATCATTTTAAACATTTTCTCAACTGTGTTTTAATGTGTCTTTTTAACATACTTATCAGTTGGAACTTATTTCTTCTTCTTACTAATTTTTCACATCTTTCCTCTGTTTTACTCAGATCTCACCTCCCAATGAACATATTGTGTTGGGAAGTCCTTGGAGGCCCTGGTGGCAGAGATATCAACCAATCAGCTACAACTTGTGCTCCAGATCTGGCAGTGAGGTCGAACTACGAGACATGATTACCAGATGCAACAATGTTGGGGTAAACTAATTTATAGCACTGACTGCGTAAAAGGTATCTCTATATTTTATGAGAAACGTATTTGAGCTATTGGTCCACCAGTATTATAATCTACAAATGTAGCCGTACAGTGGTAGTGTCACCTGTCCAAAAAAGAAAAAAGTTGAAAAATGACTAAATAAAACAAGAAATAAAGAGGATTTGTTGGAATATTGTAACTTCACAGGTTAACATCTATGTGGACGCAGTCATTAACCACATGTGTAGTTCTGGAGGTGGAGAGGGAAATCACTCTTCATGCGGGAGCTGGTTCAGCGCCAACAATAAGGACTTCCCCAGTGTGCCGTTTTCCAGTTGGGACTTCAATGACAACAAATGCTCTACTGGCAGTGGCAATATTGAGAACTATGGGGACCCCAACCAGGTAATTGGTGATAATGAAAAATACAATTACTCACCTCTTTCAGGTTTTATTCATTGTTTAATATGATTAGTTTAAGTCCTCGCTGAAAGGGATATCTTGTTTCACATTGATTAGGATTTTAGCTTTAGAAACAACATTCTTTCACTTGATCCAGGTGCGAGACTGTCGTCTAGTTGGTCTGCTGGACCTCGCCCTTGAGAAAGATTATGTTAGAGGCAAGGTGGCTGATTACATGAACAATCTGATCAACATGGGCGTGGCTGGATTCAGAGTGGATGCCTGTAAGCACATGTGGCCAGGTGATCTGGATAATGTTTACCGTCGTCTTAACAACCTGAATACCAAGTGGTTCACAAGTGGCTCAAGACCGTTCATTTTCCAGGAGGTACATTTTAATGTCAATATAAGCGTTGATTTTGCAAGCACTGGTATTACATCAAGCTGCAGCACTATTCCTCTTGTTTTATGTGTTGTCATTATTCCAGGTGATTGATCTGGGAGGTGAGCCCATCACGTCTAAAGAATATTACCATCTGGGAAGAGTGACTGAATTCAAATATGGTGCCAAACTGGGAACGATCTTCAGGAAATGGAATGGTGAAAAGCTTAGTTATACCAAGTATGTCTATATACCAGTGGCTTAAATGATTTAGTATTCTGTTCGTTGTAACAAATGGACAACTTGAATTTCCACATGTGATCATATTGTGTTTATGTGTTCAGGAACTGGGGAGAGGGATGGGGCTTTATGCCTGATGGAAATGCTCTTGTTTTTATTGACAATCATGACAATCAGAGAGGTCATGGTGCTGGTGGTGCATCCATCATTTCCTTCTGGGACGCCAGACTCCACAAGATGGCTGTTGGCTACATGTTGGCTCATCCTTATGGACAAACCAGGGTCATGTCTAGCTATAAGTGGGACCGTAACTTTGTGGATGGAAAAGTATGTTCCCTGGTTTAAAACAAAACACAAAAAACAACATGATAGATACATACGTGCATTTTAGTGTGTGTGTGTTTAAACTTTTGTTAAACCAATTTTTGAACAACAACAGGATCAGAATGACTGGATTGGTCCTCCCAGCAACAGTGATGGATCCACTAAGCCTGTTCCCATCAACCCTGATCAGACTTGTGGAGATGGATGGGTATGTGAGCACAGATGGCGTCAGATCAAGTGAGTCTCAGAACAAACTGGCAAATTAGTACAGCTTATTTATTTTCTACATTATTGAATGGAAATAAAATGATTATGAACCAGACATTTCATTTTTCTCTACATTTTTCCATCCACACCTGTTTTTAAAGGAACATGGTCACTTTCCGTAATGTGGTGAATGGGCAGCCTCAAGCTAACTGGTGGGACAATCAGAGCAACCAGGTTGCTTTTGGCCGAGGTAATCGGGGTTTCATCGTCTTTAACAACGATGACTGGTAAGGACTGAGTGATGAAGACAGATTGAGGGTTCGTGGGTATGTCTGTAAATTTAAGCTTTCTTTTCCCAAGCTCTACTACAAAACACTGAATGAGTCCTGCAACCAGTGTCATGCTGATTCACACTTTGATTTAATTGATGCTGTGTGAACATAATATGACTTTTGTTCTTCAGGGACCTGGATGTGACCCTGAACACGGGCATGCCTGCTGGAACCTACTGTGATGTCATTTCTGGACAGAAGGAAGGAGGCGGCTGCACCGGGAAGAAAATACAAGTTGGAAGTGATGGCCGTGCCCACTTCAGCATCAGTAACAGGGAGGAAGACCCCTTTGTTGCTATTCATGCTGAATCCAAGCTTTAAACTGTAAACTCAAAATAAAGTAGTGCATGAATCACTTTTGATGTTTCTCTTTTTTTAATAGAAATTCATAGTTTGACAAAAAACATGCAATTCCATTTTGGCCCACTTAAGATAATTCCCTTCCAAAAGTTAAAGTAAAACAAAACAGATAAGGCCTCTTATACAGTATACTCAGTCTTTGGCATTTGAAATTTTGATTATGCTCGTAACATGTCACCACCACATAAAAATTAAACAAATAAATACAAAATAATAATAACAATAATAATAAATTAAAGAATCAGGGCTTCAATGGCTTTATCACTTTTTATTAGTTTGTGCAAAATTAAAAATTGCTAATTCATAACGTTCTGGGCCTTAAACTTGACATGTGTTTTTAATGAATCACAGCTTCTGTAACAGCCCACACGTTGTGAAGGACACAGCAAAAATAAGTTGGCTTCCTTTTGCATCAATTAGCCAAAACACAAACATTTGAAAAATCTGAAAAGATATTGTGGAACATTTTTTGAAGGCGCAAAATGTCCACCAAAAAACAAAATTAAACTGACAAACAGCTGTTACTTTTTTGATCCACATCTCAGAGCAAAGTATATATCTTAAGTGAGGTAAGATCTTACCTTAGGAGAAAGTTTCTAGCATGTCTTACTCCTGGGAACATTGGCAACTGTTTTGACATGTTTTCCATGTTAGATGTGTTTTCCCTTATGTAACAGTTTGGTTTCATAATACTGGGATCAAAACAGCCTATGAGCTTTTGTAGACTTATGAAACACAACATTTTCTGTCTTGTTACTAATATTTCGACTTATAGAACCTAGTGGAACACTAGAACCAAAGTAATGTCTTTAAAAAAATATGTCAAGTTTAGTAATGCCTAGTTCATAAATTATTATTTAAATGTCCTGTTGATGTTTCCACTTTCTTATTTCAGATGGGAGAAAACTGACAAAACTGCACCTGTTAATCTCATTGATCTAACTGGAGGAAAAGTGTAAACATACTGGTGAATATGTGTTTAGTTCTCTTCTAAAGAAGAGCCATTTGAATGATCAATTTGATAACTGTTTGGGTTCAGCTTTGCTCAGCAGCTGATTTTCTATAATATTTTATGTGGTTCAATAAAATTGTGGAACAATCTAGAGAGTGATGTCAAAAGGGCAGGATCATTGTATATGTTTAGGAGAATGGTAAATTTTGGTTTGTTGAAGAAATATGAAATAGTACAATGTGTATCCATAGCAAAAGTTTGAGATAGATTTGATGTTTACTTTTTCTTATTTTTTGTTTTGTTAAGTAAAGATTTGTATTGTTTGAATTTATTTGATGGAGAAAAGGCACAGATATTATAAGATGTTTTTTTTTCTCTGCTGCCTTTCATTTTATTTTATTAGTCATTTCTATTTTTTTTATTGAAACTGCTTTTTTATTTTTTAATATATTGAAGTAGCATGGAAGTAAAATAAAAAAAAACTGAATCAGATCAAATCAAATCTGATCTTTTTAATTTGAACAAAATTGATGAACATCTGTCTCAGTTTGGAATCCATTTACACAGCCAGAGATATGCCTAATTTAAATTGGAGCTACCAAAAGGAAATTTAAATGCTCAAGTATCCCTATTTTTTAACTCAGAATTGCCAATGTAACTTTCTTCCACAGTGTTAGCAAGAGCAATTTACTCTTAGATCTCTCTGCCAGCATGACCGCATTATTCTGGATAATCCTCAGAGCCTTGTTCCAGAAATACCAGTCATTCAGCTACGACTTGTGCTTACGATCAGGCCGTAAAGTTAAACTGAGAGAACTGATCACCGGAGTTCACCACATCACATGATGAAAATGATGAACCTATTGTATCTCTCAGCACCCTGTAAATATGCAGCCTTTTATGAAGGAATGAATGATTACTAAATGCCCTTTATTACTTTAACTTTTGCATTGTTGCCACGCTGCTTTATGACTTTAGGCACTGCAGAGAAAACAAAACAACAAGCTACAGCTGAACCATGCAGCACACATTGAGTTTAATTTGCAAAGAGCATTTGTGAAAATGAGAGCATGTTGCACAATTATTATTCTGATTTACTGCAAGTTATTATTCTGATTTACTGCAAGTTTATTGGACACAGGTAACCAACTTCGTAGACATGATTATTAACCTCATGTGAATGTGTTAGTGGAGTGTGAAACTCTGAGGTGCATTTTAACCAAGTGCATTTACTTTGTTATAATTCTTAAGTAATTTTTTGAGGGTTTATGTTTTGCCAAATGTATTTTTTTTGTTTTAGTTGTAAGTTTTACTCTTATTTTGTTACATTCAAAATATAAAATTGATACTTTTGTGTCTTAAATTTACAATTTAACACCTAGTTTCACGCTACAAATGTAAATATAACTCGATCAAAAGAGTAGTTTATGTTCTCTAAGAAATGAAGTGTTATGTCAACAGGCTCCTCTAAAGTGAGTTGAGTAAATTAATTACTAATTACTTTTTTGCCAGTGTTTATGCATTAGCAGTACTTTGAATATTTGAAAAGTTATCAGTTAGATCGTTGTATATTATTTTCTACTTTATGTTTTAAATATTATTTTCAAATGCTCATATTGAGAGCCGCTGCTTCTGTGTTGAAGAGTCATCTAAGGTCCTTCAGGCATCAGACTGCATGCCTTCTGGATGGTTCCCTGTTTCAGGCACATCCCACTGGGAAGATGTCCTTGGGCAGACCCAGAACTCACTGGAAGGATTGTGTTTTTTTCCTGGCCTGGGAATGCCTTGAGGTCCCCCAGGTGGACCAGGAAAGTGTATCTGGGGAGAGGATTTTCTGGGTTAATTTCTTGGACCTTTTGCCTGTGTGATCAGACTACAGATAAGCTGTAGAAGATAAAGATCGAGATGGGGTGTTACTCCATGCAGTGTAAGACTTTGTCAGGGTCATTTTGGTAATACTAAAATATGCATTTAATCTAACAACTATTGCATTGTTTCACCCAAAACATGACTTACTTTCATGAAATGTACAAAAAATATGATTAGACTTTTTATATCCTCTGGTTGTGAGTAAGTTATTTTAAATACATAACTGTACCCTTGTGGTTTGTATCATGAGCAGTAAAGAAATGTTACTTTTGTGTCGAAAAACTAAAGCATTTCTCATAACTTATATAATAACAACTATAATGCAAATGTTTGTTTTCTTTTATAGAGGTAGCTATCTATTTATATCATGGAAATAAAAACAAATGGCCCAGGTGCAGAAGTTGCATCACATAACATGTGTCCTTGTTCTTGTTTTTTCTCCTTTATATCAAGGAAAAACCAACAGAGATTAACCACAGTGATGTGAGATGTGTAGAAGGTCCAACATGTTATGTTAACTTCACCTTAAATACCCTCACAAACTCAAACATTTTGTTATGAAAGCTTTACACAAAGAAGAGTTTTATGTAAATCAAGCGGAGGAATTGCTGATGTATGATAAAAAATATGTTGATTATATCTTCAAAAAATTAACATTTAATCCAGAAATTATTAGGACTTTTATGTGGACTCAGTCAGTGTCTTTCAAGATGTATAGAAAGAATAAAATTAATATTATGGAGTACCAAAATGTAAGTTTTAGATAAATACTGTATTTTTTTCTTTTTAATAGATAAAGAGGTTACAGAGCCCACAACAAATGTAAAAATACGTATTTAAATCATGCCACAAGTGCTTTGTATAAAAAACCTTGTGAATGCCAGAATGAGAGCATTTTTGTCAGTATTTCTGCTTTTATGAATAAGATTTTTATCATCCCAGCTGCTTCCTATCAAACCCAGCTCCAGACCCTCTCATCACCACCTGCAGAGAGTGTGTCAAACAGACATCTGACCTGCCTTACTGAGTTTTGTTCCGGGTCACTTCTTCCAGTGAGTCTTCGGTTTACAGGCTTGTTTAAAGTGAAAAGGGGGCTCTGACAGGTCTGTGGTGAAAACACACAGGCTTAATAACCCATCTGTGTGCTGACTGTGAGGTGACACATAAGGACTAAAGGAATAAAAATCTAACAACACAGGACAGATTTTGCTCTGATGCTCTGCTAACAGTCGACGCACTGCTGTTCTGACAGTGGTCCAGACACAAACACACTCAGAGTTACAGAAACAATTTACACTGAAAAGTGAGCAGTGCAAGGGAAAATTACATCTTTATAAATAACTTTACTTGAAAAACCTATTTGTGAATTTTCTTAAAAGAATAAAAAGATTGACATATTTTCAGTGTGTTTTATGTAATTCTGACATATACGCTATATACAGTGATTATGATTTTTGGAAGCCTTTTTTGCAACCAGTAGAGTGTTAAACAAATTGTGGTAAATTAATACAGTATATATA